GCCTGGAGAAGGCAGGGAAGCTCAGTGTCCCTGGCTGTTCCTGAATTGCACCCTTTATAATAAACAGATAAGAAGTAAGGCACTTTCCTGAGTTCTGTGAGCCATTCCAGCAAATTATTGTTCCTGAGGAGAGGGTGGTGGGAACCTCCAATTTATAGCTGGTTGGTCAGAAGGCCAGGTGACAACCTCGACTTGTGACTGGCATTTGAAATGGATGGGTGGGAGATAGACGGGCTGTGGTATGGGACTGAGCCCTTAACTTGTGGGGTCTGTGCTAACTCCAGGTAGTGTCAGAACTGCTTGGCGTGGAAAACCCACACATTTGTCTGAAGTGTTGTGAGTAGAGCAAAAAGAGGTTTTTTCCTTTTACACACAAATGTCATACATGTGTGTATATCTCTCTCTCAAAAACGTTTAGTATACTTCACAACTCCACTAAGATGTGTGACACCTCAAAAATTTCAAATCAATTTTCTCGGCTAATGCTATATAAATGGGAAATTTAGTTATGGGTCTGCCTGCAGGGTCTTCTTGTAGCTCTACTTGTTGCGTTCCTCTTTTTCACTCTCAAAATGAAATATTTTCTATACTCTTTAGGGCAACTTACACCATCCTTTCTAAAAATCTCCACTACCACCGCCCCAAAGTCTCCTTACTATGATGTCAAACCATCAGAGGACTGGGGCCGGCCAGGTGGCGCAGTGGTTAAGCGCACACGTTCCGCTTCTCGGCGGCCCGGAGTTTGCCGATTCGGATCCCAGGTGCGGACATGGCACCGCTTAGCAAAAGCCATGCTGTGGTAGGTGTCCCACGTATAAAGGAGAGGAAGATGGGCATGGATGTTAGCTCAGGGCCAGCCTTCCTCAGCAAAAAGAGGAGGACTGGCAGTAGTTAGCTCAGGGCTAATCTTCCCCCCCTCAAAAAAAGAGGAAAAAACAACAACAACAAAAACATCAGAGGACCAATTATTTAACCACTCTTTAAATTTTTTTTTATTTTACAATGCTTTGACATCCTGGGGGCCTTCCTCCATGCAGGGCTAGCTAGTTCCTAGGGTAACAACTTTTCTTGGAGCACAAGGTTCATATGCAAACCAACAATCCAAAGCCACACCCACCCACCTCATCTAACTCACACCCCAAGCCAACATTTCCCAGCCCTCAATCAACCCAGATCCAGCTTCTGGACCAAAGGGGACAGCCCCTAGTGCCCCAAAGTCCACCTGAGATATTCAAAGGACTCAATCCTAAACTGTCCCCTGCCCTGTCCTGCCTTTCCCACAGAAACCCCAATAAATGCTCTGGGTCATGCTTTCTTTCCCCTCATCCCGTTTTTCCTCCTGACCAACGCTGGTGCTTCCCCACGGGGCCCTGGGAGACAGTATGTCCCCTTCTTGAGAGCTCCAATAAGTTGTTCTTTCCAAAGCATTACCTCTCCCTGTCATCTGTTACTAAGTCACCTCCATAAAGTGAAATCCCACAGGTACAAATTGATACAGTGGGGATACTGTGAGAATTACATGAGTGGAACATGAACAGTATGTGAATGCTCCTGACATGTGGTCAGTGCGCAGTGCTCAAAAGCAGGAGTAACTGCTTTTCTTAAAAATGACTCACTTTTGGGACTTCATCAGACTAAAGAGCTTCTTCAAGGCAAGGGAAAACAGGATTGAAACAAAAAAACAGCTCACTAATTGGGAAAAAATATTTACAAGCCACTTATCCGACAAAGGGTTAATCTCCATAATATACAAAGAACTCACACTGCTTAACAACAAAAAAACAAACAACCCGATCAAAAAATGGGCAGAGGACATGAACAGACATTTCTCAAAAGAAGATATAGGGCTGGCCCCGTGGCCGAGTGGTTAAGTTCAGGCGCTCCGCTGCAGGCGGCCCAGTGTTTTGTTGGTTCGAATCCTGGGCGCGGACATGGCACTGCTCATCAAACCACGCTGAGGCAGCGTCCCACATGCCACAACTAGAAGGACTTACAACGAAGAATATACAACTATGTACCGGGGGGCTTTGGGGAGAAAAAGGAAAAAAATAAAAAAATCTTAAAAAAAAAAAAAGAAGATATGAATATGGCCAATAAACACATGAAAAGATGTTCATCATCGCTAATCATCAGGGAAATGCAAATCAAAACTACACTAAGATATCACCTTACTCCCGTTAGATTGGCAAAAACATCCAAAACCAAGAGCAACAAATGTTGGAGAGGTTGTGGAGAAAAAGGAACCCTCATACACTGTTGGTGGGAAGGCAAACTGGTACAGCCACTATGGAAAACAGTATGGAGATTTCTCAAAAAGTTAAAAATAGAAATACCCTATGACCCAGCCATCCCATTACTGGGTATCTATCCTAAGAACCTGAAATCAGAAATCTCAAGAGTCCGTTGCACCCCTATGTTCATCGCAGCATTATTTACAATAGCCAAGACGTGGAACCAACCTACATGCCCAGAAACTGATGACTGGATAAAGAAGATGTGGTATATATAGACAATGGAATACTACGCAGCCATAAAAAAAGACAAAATTGGCCCATTCACAGCAACGTGGATGGACCTCGAGGGTATTATGTTAAGCGAAATAAGCCAGTCAGAGAAAGACGAACTCTATATGACTCCACTCATAGGTGGAAGTTAGTATATTGATAAGGAGATCTGATCGGTGGTTACCAGGGAAAAGGGGGGGTGGGGGGAGGGCACAAAGGGGGAAGTGGTGTACCCACAACATGACTAACAAAAATGTACAACTGAAATCTCACAAGGTTGTAATCTATCATAACATTAAAAAAAAAAAAAAAAAGACTCACTTTTTATTTTCCTTAGATTCCTTCAAAAAGGGAATCTTGCATCACTCTGGTAAATGGGAAACCGAGTCCCTTGCATTGATGGCAGGTCACCCTGAAAATGGAGCCATGCAATCAAAGCGATGTTGTTGAGGCCCAGGGGGCTCAGGCTGCCTGCTCAGCACTGTGAGCCTAAGGCTACTCTCTGTTGAAAAGGGGAAAGCAGGAACAGCTGGATGGGGTAGGGGAGTGAAGAAGGGGTGTTCTGAACCCAGGCTTTCCATCAACGACAATCAGGAAGCAGGAAAGAGAAGAAACAAAGGAGGGGCTTCCTCAGTGTGTCTCTCAATGCCAGCTAATGAAGCGTCCCTGCACACTCTGCAACAAGATTTCTGAAACAAGCTTTAGGTCAAGATAATTCTTTGGAGGGCGGGAAGGAATCTGTCCTGTTCATTATAAGGGTGTTCAGTGGCATTTCAGGTCTGCACCCACTAGATGTCAGTAGCGTCCACAGCCCAGGTGTGACAACCAAAAACACCTTCAGACATTGCTGAATTTCTTGTGGGGAGCAACATCACTGGCGGGTGAGAACCACTGGATCACAAGGTTATAAACAGGAAGGTGAGAGAAAGTGAGTGGGACTGGGGAGACCCTCCGTGAGATTTTGTGGCCTAGACACAGAGTGAGGTGGCGACGGTGCCAAGAAGGGGTAGCTGTATAAAGGGCTAAAATGCCTAAGAACACTCACCAGGCAGGCAGAACAGCAAGTGCACATGCAAACGTGCATGGGGAAACAGCAAGAAGCCAAGCAGAGCCGAAGCGGTGAACTCGGGGAGAGCAAGCGAAGATGAGTGAAGAGGTCTTCAGGACCAGATGGTGAACTTTTTATTTTAGAAAGTTGCCTTACAAAAATATTTAATCTATCAAACTTTTCTAATTCTGCTTTTTCTCTTCTCCTAGATACGCAACATAATCCCAGTTCTCTAAAACAAGCATGTCGTTCTCTAAGCCCTGGACATACAGCACTCCTCTCCCTCAAACTGAGTGGTCTACGGTGATTATCCTCAGGCTGAGAACACCTAAGCTGGTGTTTCTCGACAGTGGCACTCCTGACCTGTAGGCTGGGTAATTCTGTGTTGAGGGAGCTGTCCTGTCCACGTAGGATGTTTAGCATCTCTGGACTCTACCCACTAGAGGCCAATACCACCCACACCCAGGTGTGACAATCAAAATTGGCTGCAGACATTGACAAATGTCTCCTGCAGAGCAAAACCACCAAGTGTTGAGAAGCACTTCCCTAACTTTCCTCTCTTGTACTAGCAGAGGATCTCGGTCCTGGACTTAGGAAACAAGAGACGATTGTGACGGCTCACACGAGAATGAAGAAGCTCCATAACCGAGATCATGCTGCTTAGAACAATACCTGTTGGCACTGAAGGCAAAGGCCTCCTGGGGCCTGCCTGACTCACCCTCTTCCTGGAGAACATCCCAGCACTCACGGCCCTGCTAACTGGACTGCAGGGGACACCTGAGCCAACCAGGCTCAGTCGGGTCCCTCTCTGGAATGTGAAATAAGAACCTCAGACAGAGGCCAGTCTGTGCTGGGCCCTGGGGTGAGAGGTTCAGGAAAGGATGGGCTCAGGTGGCCACTCCTGCCCCAAGGATGCCCCAGAGAGCCCAGGAGCAGAGAAAGAAAGAGAAACAACATAAACATGCAAGGAAGCAGAGGCAAGGAACCTGGGGGCCACAGAGAGCAGGGACTGAGGCAGCCAGTCCTGCTGCAAACTCGCTGAGGAAAAAAAGCCATTCTGAAAAGACAGTGACATGAGCACACCCAGAGGGAGAAGCTAAGACAAGAGACTCAGAAGCCAGGGCATAATTGTGGTGGCTCCCAGTTCCTATGTCAGTGGCACCCAGGGCCCAACTGGAAATCCTGCCTTTAGATGCTGTAGAACACTGCCACTTCCTTCTGCAGCTTTCTAGGAGCCAAAGGGTCCTCTGTTTCTTGCCCAAAGAGACACAGGCAGACCAGGAAGGAAGATTTGAGTCTAGAAAATGACTGAAGCTGTTGGTGGTGGTGGGGCGGGGGGCGGCGGCGGCTTGCGCTCCTGAGGTCTTCTTGACCAGCTGAGATGGAGCCAGAGGTTGGAATGATGGAACCAGCAAGTCTGCCCCAATGGTGGAATGGGGACGTCTTACCCAGAGACACCAGGAGCCCACAGTTTTCTAGCATCACCTCCTGGTACAGAGTCCTCTGGGCCAGGTCCAGCTGCCCCCACTCCTCCTGGGTGAAAGTCACAGCCACATCATCAAAGGTCACAGACACCTGAAAAGTCAAATAGAGGCAGCAGTATTAACCTTGGGGCTGGTGGACGGGATCACAGCTTATCTCTGCATTGCTGGTAAAAATGCAGAGATCAAGGTCCTAATCCCTGACCACCTCCTGGGGGCCGAGCTCTGTGCTGGACTCAAGGTGGGGAGTGGTGGTCAATCCTTTGAACATAATCCAATAGTGTCAGAGAGAGAAGCTTCCTATGCAGGAGCCCTTGGAAAATGACACAAGACAGTGGAAATGACATGCAGACTGTGAGATGCAGACAGTAATGGCTCTAGGACATCAGAGGAATGAGAAAATGATGATAATATCAATGATGGTAACAGCAGCAGTACCTGAGCCTCACTGGTCTTGCTAGTTGCCTGCCCCACGCTGAGGGCTTCACATTTTGGTTAAACTAACTAAAAGTCCCCAGTTCTTAAGTCAACCTCCTGTGGTTTGCATTCAAACTCTTGAAACCCTGACACTTGTCAGCTCAGTTGGAGCTTGGAGACACCACTTCATTTCTCTGAGCCTGGATTTCTGGATCAATACAATTATAGTTCCCACTTCACCAGTAACAGTTGTGAGATTTAGACCGAAATGCCTGCTGTGCTTCGAGATTTTCATTAATTCTCCCACAGCCCCTGAGGTCAACATTTCATCAACTCCAGGCCACAGTTCTGAGGCTACGGGAGCTCCACCCATTCACCCAGTCTCCAGTCTGACAAACCAGGGGCAAGATACTAACACAGGTTACTCCAGCACAGGGTCTAAAAGAGTACCCGACATTCCCTCATTATCAAAGTGAATACACAGAAAGGAGATTGTGAAGCATTTACACCAATTCTCGGTGTGAAATCCATTTGTCACCCCTGCAAATATTTCTGCAAACACGGACAAAGGAGAAGAGCTCTCATCACTGAACTCACAGGAGAGGCACCTGGAGGGGTGGCACCTACCTGGGTAATGGCAGGGCCTGAACCAACTCCCCATGCCGCCTGGTCCCCTGGGTCCTCAGACTCCCAGGGAGATTGCCCAATGAACCATTAGCCTTTTTTTCCTTCCTGAGTCCTGACAACACTTACCCCTGAGACCAGGATACTTCAGGACCATGGAGCACAAACAGCCAAAGACAACACAGACTTCAGCCATGAGAATAAGGGCCTCTAACAAGCCACAGTATCTGTCTGGCTGATGGTGGGTGGAACATCCTGCAAAAGGCCACCCAATCTCGCCTTCCCAAGACACATCTCAGCAGCTGGAGGAACCATGGCGACCTCACAAGACCTCCTGAGCCTCCTTAAACCACCACTATACCTTGCCTTTGTCCGTGCACTTCTCTCTGCCTGGAAAACCCTGTCCCCCCTTTCCCCGGGCACCTGTCGGAAGGACAGGCGGGCCAGGGTGGATCCTTGCAGTACTTGGTGGGGGTTGGGATTACTCTAAGCACGATGGGAACCCTGGAGGAAGCATCAGACAGCCGTCCAACAACTTACGGAGCATCTGGCAGAGCCCAACACCATTTAGAACAAGGGACAAACTAAGCGATAAACCAGCTGCGCGTGCCGAGACGACACCTTCGAAGGTAAGGCCGGTCGGCGTCCTGGCTCCCGGGCCCTTGGGGAACCGTCCCCACCCTCGCAGAGACCAACTCCGAAGTCGCCGTCCACTTACGCGCGTCTGAGCGCTGGGCGACGCCGCCATCGTGGGACCCTGAGGGGCGAGCGAGGCCGGGGGAACAAGCACCGGGCGGCCCGCTGACCCTCGCCGGGGACCTCGGCCGACTGACGCACCCCGAGCCGCGGAGTCCTTCTGGAAAAGGTGCCCGAGACCCCCGGCGCCGCCCTTGGCGACAGCGGGGAGGGGACGCGGCCGCAGAACCCCCGAGGTGCCGCGCCCGGCGTGCGACTAAGGGACACGCACGGTATACGGAGTCGCGGCCCGTACAAAGGCGCGACGGTGACTCCTGGCCTCCTGCCCTGCTCGGTCGCGACCGAATGCCTGAGAAGCGTCGCCGGGTTAGCCCCCAGCAAAACACCGCCCGCCGGGACCGAACCACAGACGCAAATGGCGTCCGCGGTCGAAAACCCGGAAGTCCCGCCCTCATACGTGGGCCGCAGGAAACGCCCCTGTCCCGGGCCGTCATTGGCCAGAGCCCGCCTTAGACGCACGATGCACAGCCTCCTGGGTAATGTAGTTTCCCCCGTCTCTACCCAACTTCGCGAGGTGGGCCGTAACCAGGCAATCGTCCTCGGCGCAGGTGGCTCACGAGGAACTGATAGCCGCCCGGCCCCGCCCCCTTACACAGGGCGCAACTCAGGAGGAGCAGCCGGCAACGGGACCGGTGCTTTCTGTGTCTGGGAGATTGAGGCTCGGGATGGGGGCACGTTTGCCCAGGGTCAGGGCCAGTGCAAGGGTCCGGAACCCTCGGCTCGCGGCTGCCTTGGTTACTTCCTCTTCCTTTACCTCCTCCTCTCCTGGGAGGACCAAAAAGTAGCTTTAAAGTCTTCAAGAGTAGGATGCCGGAAGACAGCCTCGTGCGTGGCGCGCTCACTGATGGCTGCCCCTTGGGCCGCCTTTGACTCAGAGCCTCTTTCTTGTGACGCATGAACTTCTGAGTCACGTGGTTGACCCTGATTTCCCCCCCCCCCCCACCCGCCCCCCAAGAATGTATTTGCTCTCCTTTGAGGTGGGGAGGCCACGAGTGGAGGAGGCTTGGAGGAAAATTCAAAATCTGGTTTCAAGCATGGCCAATTTGGAATGTCTATGAGATCACAAAGCCTGTGTCACGGAGACTTTTCAACTATGACTGAAGATTGGGAGAGAGTTCTAGCCTGGATATATAAATTTGGGAGTTGTTAGTGTACGCTGTTATTTCAAGTCGTGATAGGTGAGACCAAAAGGAATGGGTGTAGTCTGGAGAAGATAATGGACAGAGCATGAACCCGGGACGACCCGACTTCGTTAAGTGATTGATGACAAGAAACCAGCAAACTCACATTAGGGGTTATAACGTCCACCCAGAGGTACAGGACGTGATATTAGAAGTCACCATTGGTAATTTTTTTTCATAACTGTGGAGCTGAGAAGAAAATGCATCTTTCGTGATTTAAGGATGCATATGAGATTGAGAAATGAAATCAGGGAGTGCAGAATATACCCTTAAGAGATTTTTGCTTTTGAGGAAGATTAGCCCTGAGCTAACTACTGCCAATCCTCCTCTTTTTTTGCTGAGGAAGACTGGCCCTGAGCTAACATTCATGCCCATCTTCCTCTACTTTATATGTGGGACACCGACCACAGCATGGCTTTTGCTAAGCGGTGCCATATCCACACCCGGGATCCAAACCGGCAAACCCCGGGCCGCCGAGAAGTAGAATGTGCCAACTTAACCTGCGCCACTAGGCCGGCCCCTCCCTGGGTCTTTAGTTACACTCATTTGTAAATATTTGTTTCTTTAACCTCTGACTCCCCGATTCTTACACCCAAATAGAAGTTGCAAATTGTGAAAGTCCAGATGTCCTCAAGCTGGGCTCCCACTAAATTTGGGGCTAATCACAGGAACTTGAAGTTCTTTTACAGAGAAACTAATATCCAGAGAATATCAAGAAATGGAAGCTTCCCAGGACCAACTCCTCGGCTTCCTGATGCCAGAGTCTACATTCCACCATGGAGATAATAGCCAAGGACACTCACCTGAGAAATTGTTTGTCTCCTCTGCTGGAAGCAGCCCCAGACACAGGCCAAAGGGAAAATGCTGACCAAGAGGGCCATGGCCCCCCTCCCCTACCTAGAACCCCCAATAAAAACCCCTACCTGGGGGGTCAGCCCGGTGGCACAGCGGTTAAGTTTACGCATTCTGTTTTAGTGGCCCAGGGTCCGCCGCTTTGGATCCCAGGTGCAGACAAGGCATCGCTTGGCAAAAGCCATGCTGTGGCAGGCAGCCCACAAAGAAAGTAGAGGAAGATGGGTACGGATATGAGTTCAGGGTCAGGCTTCCTCAGCAAAAAGAGGAGGATTGGCAGCAGATGTTAGCTCAGGGCTGATCTTCCTCAGAAAAAAAACCCCCAAAACGAACAAAAAACCCCTACCTGTTTCTTAATGGGGAGCTAGCAATTCTTGAGGCAGTAACCCTTGCTTTGCTCCCTCTGCCTGGCAAAGTAAAGCCTTTCCTTTTCATTCAAGGCTCTGTTCTCGTTATTTGGATTGGCATTGGGTTCAGAGACTGAACTTTTGGTAACAGTAGTGTAGATCGTATTGTTTTTAATTTTAAATTCCACTTATGGGGGGCTGGCCCCATGGCCAAGTGGTTAAGTTTGTGCTATCTGCTTCGGCAGCCCAGGGTTTCGCCAGTTTGAGTCCTGGGTGCAGACATGGCACTGCTCATCTAAGCCATGCTGAGGAGGCGTCCCACATGCCACAACTAGAAGGACCCACAACTAGAAATACACAACTATGTACTGGGGGGCTTTGGGGAGTAAAAGGAAATATAAAATCTTAAAAAAAAATTCCACTTATTCATTGCTGGTGTATAGGAAAGCAATTGACTTTTGTACATTAACCTTGCATCCTGCAACCTCGCTGTAATTGTGTATTCGTTCTAGGAGTTTTTTGGTTGATTCTTTTAGATTTTCTACGTAGATGATCATGTCATCTACAAATAAAGACAGTTTTATTTCTTCCAAATCTGTATAAAAATGGAATATCTTATGATATATTATTGTCTGGACCTTGCTTTTTGACTCAACATTATGTTACTCTGATTCACCTATTTGTTTTCACAGCTGTATAATTTTCTGTCCTATGAATATATCACAACGTATTGTGACCAGTCTGCTCTCAATGGGCACTTGGATTGCTTGCAGATTTTTTGCTGTTGAGAACAGTGCTTTAGGGAACATATAGAAAAGTTTCCCTTCAGTGTATAATCAGGATGAGAATTGCTGCATCATGAGAGAGTATTCAAATTTTCAGTTTTGAAAGATAATGCCAAGTTGTTTTCCAAAAGTTTTGGAAGAAACAAGAGATTGTCGGTGTTGTAATCCAATGTACACATCAGGATAGATGCGGAGAGGGCTGATGGCCACTCTGAGTTTATAACCAGCTTTTCAATATACACATAGCTTACAGCTGTTAAACATACACAGGTGTTCTGGACAATGTAATTAGCGGATGCCAAGAATTCTTAGTGATTTCTCAAGGAGCCCTCCCTCGGCCTCTGTTTTGATATTATCATGTTTTTGCTGTGTTCGTATATTTTATCTTGGAGCATGCTAGGCCTCCTAGGCAACGGCCCCTCCTGCTCCTGATATCCTGTCTCCATCTGTGCCCCTGGAAGACCGGTGCCTGGCTTAGGTTGCCTCCCCATGGAGGTCTTACCCGTCATTGGCTAACCGGCCTTCTCACCTCTGGATCACAGTTTGTTGGCAAGCCTTTTCCAGTGATTATTAACCCTTCCTGCGTCAGGGGCAGCTACAGAGATGTCATTAATTCACGTCTCCAATACTTGGAATTGTCACATTTCTCATATTTTACCAACAAAATCAGTAAATGGAATTGCATGGTGGCCTTGATTTCATTTCCCAGATACTGATGAGGTTGAGAATTTGTCTATCTTTTCTAATTGTTTCCTCTCTTTTGAAACGTAATGTAGTCTCCTCAAGCTCAGAGATTTTCACTGATGAAAATTTTAGGGAATATTTTTCATCATGGCCAACAATTTTCAAAAGACTGTTTTTAAAAAAAAGAAGTTCCAATGACACATTGCTTGGGGGGCCAGCCTGGTGGTGCAGCAGTTATGTTCGCACGTTCCACTTTGGCGGCCCGGCGTTCACCAATTCGGATCCTGGGTGTGGACATGGCACTGCTTCACAAGCCATGCTGTGGTAGGTGTCCCACATATAAAGTAGAGGAAGATGGGCACAGATGTTAGTTCAGGGCCAGTCTTCCTTAGCAAAAAAGAGGAAGATTGGCGGCAAATGTTAGCTCAGGGCTAATCTTCCTCAAAAAAAAAAAGACAAGTTTCTTGGTCATGACTGGCTCATTTATTCCAAAGAATCTTTATCTTTATTTTGTTTTCCATGTGTACTCTTCAGCAGTAAAACAACAGTTCGAATATTTTCAACTCAAATAAAGGTTTAAAAAATTGGAAGAATTTAAACAGAATTTGTGATGATGAAAATTCCATGGTTCATAATGATGCTTTTCTAAAGTAAAGTGTTTTAAAAATACATTCAGATTGACCATTTAATCAGTGATGCTTTTCAGAAGGCTATCAAAAGGGTTAAGTAGGGGTTGACCCGGTAGCACAGTGGTTAAGTTCTCAGGTTCTGCTTTGGTGGCCTGGGGTTGGCCAGTTTGAATCCCAGGTGAGGACCCATACACGACTTGTCAAGCCATGCTGTGACAGGCGTCCCACACAAAATAGAGAAAGACAGGCATGGATGTTAGTCAGTGCCAGTCTTTCTCAGCAAAAGGAGGAGGATTGGTGGCAGATGTTAACTCAGGACTAATCTTCCTAAAAAAAAGAAGGGTTAAGTAGTTTTTCCAAAGTCATACAGAGCTTAAGTAATAGAGCTGATATTCAAAGTGATGTGGCTGGCACCAGTGTCTGTATTCATAACCACTGCACTATATTTCCTACCCAGTGTTGCAAATATTTTTCCATATTTTTAAAGTATTTCATTTTTATCTTTAAATTCCAAAGATTTTGAAATTTCTATTGCCAATGTGAATGGGATCTACTTTTATGTATGTTGTGAACTATTGCTGTGGTCTTGTAAGAGAGCTATTACTATTGTAGAAATAAATATTTTTGTAAGAAAGCTATTAATATTGTAGAAATATATATTTATTGATAAGAAGGGTATCCAATATATTGATACATAAAAAATAGCTCAGCAAACTATATATACATATCTCGTGAGAACTGCAGAATTCTCAGTATACAGCAACCTCCATCCAAACTTCTGCACTAAGAAACTTGACCAAACTCTAAGATGGTTTCTAGTAGCTTACTGCTGTGTCCCTAGGCCTGTGCTGCAATTCATCTATAAAGGTCTGTCAAAGGCCCCAAACAGCATCCCTATCTGCCACTGAGACTTTAAGCACCATTGGATTTACTGGGTCATATGACCCAAGTGGAAGAGCAGTTTGCACGGCAACTTGGACCAGTTGGAGAGCCTTCCCTTGCTCTGGACCCCACTCAAAACTAGCAGCTTTTCAGGTCACTCCATAAATGGGCCGGAGTAACACATCCACATGAAGGATATGCTGCCTCTTTCTTGGTTGTAGAGATGCAATAGATGCGACAACTTAATTGTTCACCTTAGAAGGGATGTCTTGATGTGACCCACACCACTGGACCCCTAGAAGTTTCGCTGAAGTAGAAGGCCCTTGAATTTTCATTGGATTCATTTCCCACCCTCTGTCATGCACATGTCTTACCAGTAAGTCTAGAGTAATTGCTACGTCTCATTCACTAGGTCCAATCAGCACAAAGGCATCAATGTAATGGACCAGTATGATATCTCATGGAGGGGAAAAGTGATCAAGATCCCTGTGAACTGAATTATGCCATAAGGCTAGACAGTGGATATATACCTGAGGTAG